TTATTAATGCAAAACATTTTGAGCGGTTCTAACTAAAATGGCATTTTTTTGTTGTTAAAATTCTCATTTGAATGTAGAGAAAACGATTTTTTGTATCATTTTAGTAAATGATACAATATGTACTTTGTGTTGTATAATTAACATTTAACAACACAAAGTACACTGCAAGAAAATGTTGCAGAAATCTAATCACAAGAGTGTTATCTAGAGTTATATTGTTGATACTACAATAAAATAATACTAAGTTTACATTAAACATGTGTATTTATCAATAGATTTTATTAGCAGTTAACAATAGAAAACGTACTTTCATAATTAAATGTTTCATTATTAGTTCACCTGATGGAGTTTCTTCGGAGTAATTACTAAAATTATCAATAAACACCTTTGGCTGATAAGACTTTTATTTGCTTATATATTAACATTTTCAAGTTATTCTATAAGCTATCCTCAGGTGACAGAGTTTGGAACATCAGTTACAAACTGTTCCAAAATAGAATACAATTAATATTAGAAGTACAACATAAAAGTGACATGAAAATTATATTCGTTTATTTATATTTAATTTAATATAATTTATGGCATGGGTAGTATTTTCCATATAACTTGGTGGGAACAGAAAAAATAAGTATTAAATACATTTTCGTATTAATGGAAAACTAACGTTTTCGACCGTATCCCGTCTTCCTCGGGTTGTTAAAACCAGTAAGATTCGAACTTGGAATGCAAAGAACAATATTTACAAATTATTTTTTTAAAAACCTATGGACTGTAAGGAACAATATGTCCAAAAATTATTTTAAAATTTATGGAATTATCTAAGCGCGTGTATACAACCTATATCCATGTATGTTACCACCATGGCGATAGAACTATATCAATACCATAAACATAAATAATACGATATACATAAAGGTACAGAAAAACGTTGCTAACTGCAGCTGTTGCCCGTTTTTTCATAATAGCCAACATCTATGGAGCCAAACTGTCGCTAGCACTTAACGTGCTCCACTTTGCTTCCATCTAATGCCGTGTTGAGCTGTAACAGAGAATAAAAAGTACGAATTTTTATGGCAGTAAATGCGGGATGGACCAATCGGCTTAAACTTTTATATTATACGTATTAATTAATGCATTAGGCGCTTAACTTTCTGTTGCCGTTTAAAAGCACGGAGGAAAGAACTTTCTCTTCTCTGTGCTTCATAATATCTTTATTAAAAAACGAATACCGTAATAAGTTGAATGCAGCTTCCGATTTAAGATTAGACTTACCAAAGTAGAACCTGATTTCAAAAATCTATTTGCCTTAAAACAAGCACAAAGATAACACTGATTATAATGATTTAAATTAAAATTAAAATAAATGAATATTTAATGATTATGATAACTTAAATTCAATATACAGTAGAGCAACGATTATCCGACTCAATTGGGGACTGGGGTTGGTCGGATAATTGAAAAGTCGGATAACCGAAAAGTATGAAAAAATCCATTATTAGTGTAGTATATTATTATATCCCATGTAATTAGTATATTAGTATATCGCTATTAACTTACTTCGCGTTGAATTTTCCTCCATGTTAAGCCTATCAAATTTTTTTAAAAATAATAATCGTCGCTATTGTATCGTTAAAAATTAGAAAATTAAGCCTCGTTTAAATACTGGCTCCCTTTCATGGTCGAATAAGTGTTGCCAGCTAAAACACGTAAAAATAACATAGCCAAATATTGTAGCGCCACATCACTAGCGGACATTTGAATTTGCCGACTAGAACGTGGTCGGTTAACCGAGGTGACGGTTAATCGGGGGGTCGGATAATCGATGCTCTACTTGTACAGTTAAATTTGTCTATCTTGAATCTCACGGAAACGAGAAAACCTTCGAGATAGACAGGTTTCGAGATATAGAGGTTCCTACACAGTAAACATTAATAGGTTTGATTGATGGTACAATATTTTATTAATACAATAGCAAGTACAGTACACACCTGTATTTGGTATAAATAAAAGATATGTGACATACTTTAACACAAATAGTTTTCCAATAGTTTCTAATGCCTGACGTTTTTCAACAGTAAACTAAACTCTTAGCCAATCAGAGAAAAGAAGCGTTACTTGCAACCATGTACTGTATTGCAAGAAATATTTCTCAACTACAACTTATAATTGGTTTAGTTTAGTTTAGTTTATTAGTTTACGGCAATGTGACACAAAGGCCAGGGGAAAATTGCCTCCGGAAAGTCATTTATGAGAAACTAGCCGCTATTTAAGTGTTACTAACGGAAACACCAAAGAAAACTCAGAAAATTTCAGGTCTCCAGCTCGTTAGCCAGGCGTGAATCCACAGCAAACTACAAGTGTTCAGTGGATTTATGAACTCGGCAGAAGCGAGCTGTTATTTCTACGACTCAAAAGAAAACAATTTATTATCAAAATATGTCACTGACACTTCAGTGCACAATTTGCGAAGAAATTATTTGAGATAAACATAGAAAATATTTGTGGCGTAGTAAACACTAGTATTGTGTTTTATTCCAAAGACACATGGCAAATTTTCCATCAAATTCCTTTATTAGTTGAGTCGATACGGTACATTGTTTTGTACTCGTTTCGGGCTTTGCCCCTCTTCAGTCAACTAAAATACAATATATATATTTTAACTTATTACAGTAGAGAATTTACATAAAACAATGAGTACATAAACGATATATAGACGTACCTTTTGGTTACACTTTGTATAATTTAAAAACATGTAAAATCTGCTTTAATCTTTTGTAAATAAACTAGTATATATTACAAATTAAAAGGTTAAAATCTTCTAAAATCTTCTCTTTAAGGCATATTTTGATACAATACAACTGTAAAAAAATTTTAGCTGTTTCCGCCCCTGAGAAGAAAAAAGAGAAAAAATAAAAAAGGGGTGGAAGGTAAAAGGGGGGCGGAAACAGCTAAAAATTTTTTACAGTTGTGTTGTATCAAAATATGCCTAAAAGAGAAGATTTTAGAAGATTTTAACCTTTTAATTTGTAATATATACTAGTTTATTTACAAAAGATTAAAGCAGATTTTACATGTTTTTAAATTATACAAAGTGTAACCAAAAGGTACGTCTATATATCGTTTATGTACTCATTGTTTTATGTAAATTCTCCACTGTAATAAGTTAAAATATATATATTGTATTTTAGTTGACTGAAGAGGGGCAAAGCCCGAAACGAGTACAAAACAATGTACCGTATCGACTCAACTAATAAAGGAATTTGATGAAAATTTGGCATGTGTCTTTGGAATAAAACACAATACTAGTGTTTACTACGCCACAAATATAAAACAGGACACGGTTTCAAAAAACAAATCAACAAATAGAAAATATATCGAATTTTGGTTGACAAAAGGCAGGGAAAAAATTGATTTTGAGATAAACGTGTTGGGGATAGATAGGTTCAACTGCATGATCTTTTGAATTTTAAATACATACACATAATTAATTATTAATTTCGTTTTTTATTAATCACTGTAAAAGAGCCATGATGTGGTAAGTAGAAAAGTGTATGAAATACTGAGCACTATACAATTTTACCGTACCTATAAGAATAACTTCTTAATCTTCATTTATTCCAGTGTTTCTCGACGGGGGCGATATCGCCCCCATGTGGGCGTTTTTCCATGTTGAGGGGCGATTAGTAACAATTTATATTTTGGGAGGCGAAAAACAATTTTCTGGGCGATATAGTAAAACATTATATTAACGAATAAAATATCTAATTAATCTTATATCGTAAAATAATTAAACAAATAACATTATACTAGTCACTAGTCTATTCAATGCATGACGAATTTGGCGTTAGCCTTGGCCCTCGGCATCGGAATTTTTAAGTGAAGGGACGATACTACGTAACGGTTTTATTGAAGGGGGCGATACTACGTTGAAAGTGGCGACGATTCATTAGAGGTTGAGAAACACTGATTTATTCAGTAGCTCTTTACACCCTTTTTGCCAAGTCGTTGTTATTTTGTTTACAGTTACAAGTTTCATATAGTTGAAAGATTTTTAAAAAAGTGCTAAAAACTATTCAAATAGAAAACTTCCTAAAACAAAACAAATTTTCATTATGGTGCTGTTTACAGAAGTTTTACTGTATAAATGTATCTGTATATATATACAGATATATTTATCCAAAAAAACTGTATATATATATATATACAAAACCCAGCACATATTTTTGAATTTGCATATAAAATTCTTACTCTAAATAAATAATCTTTATATGTGAAAAGAAGTGGAAAGTCAAATTACGTACAGTACATTTGTTATCCCAGCATTTTCTAATTCTTAGAATGTTACTTCGTCACTTAAATACACGATAATAGTTGTTTTATTATTTAGTAGACTTTCGTTCACATATTTATAGTATTATTTGTTTTAAACGAGAAATTATTTATTGTGGAACCGTCACAATGCCGGGCTACAATTTTTAATCATATTTTTAATTTATTTAATTTAAAATATAAGCCTTGATTTTAGTGGTGTCTCGTTCTTGTACTGTACATCATACTTTTTCTATTAGCAACAGACTCGTGCCAGTCACATATGTAACACCTTTTAGGGAAACATTTCGAAATGAAATAAGGTGACTTCCAGTTCAAACCGAAAGTTAGTATATACTTAATTAAGTGGAGCCTCCTGACCATGTGCTTTCCACGCTTGGTATACACTCATTTATCTAATATCATTCTCGAGATTAAGCAAGAACAGCCAGACCGACGACAGTGCAAATTTATAGGTTTACAATTGTTTTTAGTAAAAATTAATTAGTGAGTTCAAAATATTATCTATTGATTTAAATTTGTACTGTAAGTAATCTCTGTTCAGTCATTTTATTTATATAGGCTAAATATCAATCATTTAAATTGTAAATACAATATCTCAAATTTGTAATAAAATACGAGAATAAATTATTGTAACATAAAACACAAAAGCACAATAAAGATAACTTGTGTATCGATTTTAATACTTAAAAGATAACATTAATTTTTTTAAAAAATATCGATTCACGATATTTTAATATTCATTTTCACAGGGAAGAAGTTTTCTTAAAAATTTTTTAGTGGCTTTTACTATTGGCTTCACTTTCTGACAAGCCGCTTTTATAAATATTTCTTTTATAGATTTAGGTTTTTCGGTACAATCCACCCACAGGAGACTGCATTTTAAAGTTCTCTGTACTCTACGAAATCTTCTAATTAACTTCGACCAAAAAGATTCTACCTTCTTGCAATGAAAACTGATTCCTATCATCTTCCTGAATTTTGCTCTGCTATCTTTTTCAAACACTTTGGTCATACTTTTGGGCATTTCCCAATCATTTTCCTTAGTCTCCTCTGACTTACTTCGAAAGATGTTCGAAATCTTTGATTCTGTATAACTTTGATGGTCATCATCGTAAGATGTTTCGTGGGATTCTGAAGAAATAAATCAACAATATTTGCTATTTACGAATATAATTAAACTAATTTAATAATTATCTCAATTAACTTGATGGTAGAGATATGAGGCTTATTAAACTGCAATGGAGCCTAAGTAATCGAGATCATATTGAGAAAAGACTTTTATTAGTGGTTAGTGGAATGCATTTATGTCCTCAATGGACCCTCCTCTTGCAGGTTTATAAATTCGTATACCTGCAACATTTAACATAATAGTAACAGGTTACATGATTACACTGTAACTGTTCGTACTTCCAACCGATTACTATGTCTACTCACAGTTCAATCAGACACTCTACCATCTGGTTAATTCAGATAATTATTAAATTAATGTTTTAGAGGAAGAAGCTTACAACTATAATTAAACCGAATTAACGAAGTAAACTATAAAATTCACTTTTGAGAATTTCGAAAGTCATCCACTCGGAAAATAAAATGAAAATAAAAACGAAAAGAAATTTCAACACTCTGATAAACGCCATTTTTTCGGAAAAATTCAATATCAAAAACAAACTCTTAACAAAAATATCGAACTTAAATGAAAAAAAAACAAGAACATTAAACGTAACGGAAATAATTTAAATTAAAAAGAATGGAAAGAATTTTATAAATCAATAGAACATTCGTACAGTTCAAACATCGCAGTTAAAACGAATTGCTTAACATTCCTGACAGTGTTTAAAAGTGCGTATGTGGCGCTATCTGTTACAAATTTTATTATTAAAAAATTTTTAATATTTTTAATTACTATAACATGGCATAAAACTTAATTTTGAGAGTAGGAATGGGTTTTATTTTTAAAAAAATTGTAAATGCTAATAACGAATAAAATCGTCATTAAGCCTGACCCAACTGGAGATACTACACACACGACTCCCTTTATCTCCCTACCCCATCGACCTTTATCCACCAAAATCTAAGACCATCAATTCCCTTAAAAAACAAACCCCGCTGCAAAATTTCAGAAATTTTCGACAAAAATCGCAGGAGTTATTAAGCTTTAATTAACAAATCGTGCTTCAGCCCCCACATACAGAAAAAACTCGACGTTTCAAGGTTTCCGAGCCCAAAAATGTAAAACTTTTGGGGGATTCTTTTTAACCGATTACCATACTTCCCTCTGTTATATATAATAGAGCTGTATAGTAAAAACAAAGACGATCAATATTGCGATCATTATCCACGAGCGGTTTCAAAGTCCCCTTCCAGACCGATTTTTTTTTTCTAAAATCTAAATTAAAATTAAAATTATTACTTAATAATTATTAAAATTAAAACGACATGGCGGCCTAACCGCTTACCTCTAGAAAAATTAATTTTTAATCGAATCATATAATTAGTCTTATTATAATGATAGCTCAATACTTCGACAGCTTGTTTGGCATTAATTAATTAATTAATTAATCGGTTTTATGGAGTTGTCATTTATATACTTGCACAGTTTTCACAACCTGCGTAATGAAGTTACCATTCATCATGGTGACAATTTAAGACAGTATTAACGCAATTATGCAAGATATTACAGATTCTGACAAGTAAAGAATTTTCAGAAGCTTGCAACAGTTACATATTGAACTAGCTTTGCCCGCGAGGATTTTGCAAGCAAACCCCATTTATAGTCAGTATTTCGACAACCATAGTAATTGATATATAACACCAATTGCTGAGAATGATGAGAATCGCCGAGAATCAAACAAAATGTTTTCAATTTGATCAATTTTCTGGAACGTTTACAATCGTTCTATAATCGAACCAATATGCAATAACAAATTCGAATTTAAAACGGTTCGAACATTTGGTTAAAAAATCGAAATATATAAAAATATTTATAACAATGTCTGAAATGCTATCAATTTAATACACCTAAGTACTCAATGAAGACTAAACGTAGTTGAAAACAAAAAATCGCATCTAAAATAGTACAGTAGAAGCCGTTCTTCAAGTTAAGCCTTAATCCTTTCTCTTTCCCCACGGGGGAATTTCGAAAAATCCCTTCTTAGTGTGCGTTTTCATGACGTACCCTAACTGTGTACCAAATTTCACCTCTTTAGGTTCAGCGGTTTGCTCTGGGCGATGATGAATCAGTCATTCAGTCAGTCAGTCAGTCAGTCAGGACAAGTAATTTTATATATTTAGATATTGACAATCTGTGACATGTCGCAGCATGCTTTTAATTATGTCAGAATAACCTCTAAATGAAAATATACTAATTTGAAATTATAAAAGGAATTCTGTGGCTCGAACTCGAACGTGTAGTTTCCTGCACGTACAGAGCATGAAATCTATATAGTGACTTTGGAACTAAGGACCTAATATGGCAAATCCGTATCAAAAAGTAAACAAAGCACAAGGCAAGTCACGTGATTGCACATTCTTCAACTTCCGGTAGAACGTGGAAGTTGTGTTAATAGTCGATGCGAAAAACATCGTGTGTATCAGTTACGTTTCTTTAAATAATTATATTGTCTCATAAAATTATTGTTAGGATATATTATTGTTTATACATAAAACTAAATTTAATTCGACTTTCTTCTCTATTTCGTTGATGCTTTTTTTAGAGAAGAAAGTGCAACATTCCTCTTATTCTTGCGTTGTTTACTCATTACTATTCAGAAGTGTCTACAATTACTCAAAAAAAACCTCTTATTTATATTTAAATTAAATATTTTCGATTTTTTAAAATTTTCTACAGGATTTTTATATGAAGATAATGCTCCATACAAAATAATTTTGAAATATATTTTATATATATAGCCTGTTGTCTAAAGAGATCCTATCTTTAGAATTTTTTAAAGGAGAAAAAAACTTATAAAAATGTTAAAAAATAATTTAATTAAACTTTAAATGGTTTTAGAAAATTAGGCAGTGAATGGCTAGCCAAAGATGGGATTACTGCTCTTAAAAATTAATTTTAATATAAAACAAAATGAAAGTTTCTTTATCATCAATTTTAATTTAAATATAATACTGTTTTAAAGTGATATTTACTCTAAAAACCTTAATGTCAGTGAAATATAAGTCGTGAGTAATTGAAATAAGATAGCGTGCAAAATAACGTAACAGTACATCGTTCTAATAAAAGATCTCTAATTAAAGTTATTGTGGTGTGACAGAGGTTTATTTATTTATTTATTTTATAATATATAAAATCCAGTTTCTTTTCACATCAGTTTTTATTGTCGTCAGACAGAATCATGAGACGTGAAACATGTGACATTCAAAACTATACTTACGAAAATCGACTCATTAACTAAAGTAATAATAACTATAGCCGTCTGTGTAATTAGATTGTATTAGAGTTAAGTTAGTGATTTTCTTATTATCGAATCGCATAATTTGGTGTCGATCGTAACTTCAAAGTTTATTCGGTTGCGGAAGTTCTTTGTAACCTGCTAGGAAGAAGGGTGGATTGCCCATAAATCAAATATGATTTTGTATTTGAACCTCAGAATTATATCGTTACCGTTATACCGTTTGATTTCTGTACAGTCCTGTCTTAATTATCTTATCCCTACTTCTAAAACTGTTATACTCCGGTATAGCACAGTACAACAAAAGTAAATTAGTTAAAAAGTTTCCAAACCAATAAACGAAAAGGTATTAAAATAAGCTTTTATTATTCTGTGTTTAAATCACGCGTATATCACAATCTTTGTTTCTTTTCAATTAAATTCGAGACGGTGAAGTTGGCAGTCAATAGTTTTGGGGATCCGAGACCGAATTTGAACGGGTGGGAAAAACTCCTAGAATTTTTCACGGTAGTAATCCGCCTGAATAAGTCTTGCCCCACACCATTGTGGGCCTGGCCGAACATACAATGGGCTTGCAAAAACGATCTTCTTAGTGCCCACAAAAGTAAAGAATAAAAATTTTCTCATAGCGAATATTATGCACTTTTCACGGAATTTGAAATTATTAAAATTAAATACATTTCTCTGGTTTTTAATAGCGTTTATCTAGGCTAATATTATTTGTTTCTTTGCTTTAAACAGAATAAACGTTATTAAGGTTTAAATTTAATATAATGCATTGGAAATATTTGAAGATTTAAGCGAAAATTGTCCAAAGATAAAATACAGTAGATCCCCCTATAAAACCGTTTCCTATAGTTATGATTCCTATAAAAATTGTGGCAGTATCCGTAAACAACGGTAAAAATAACTCCTATAATACGTAAAACGTCATCGGGCAGCCGAACTACTTTCCCGCCGTCCGTAGCGCCACGCTACGGACGTTTAGGCGGATAAATTGAGTTTAGTATCGTCTGTTCATATAATTATATATAAATTAGGTACTGTACATATAATTATATATTAATTATATATAAATTAGGTACTGTATATATAATTATATATTAACTTAATTTATTGTAACTTTATTATAATTAAATATATATTTTTCGCCGTCTAGCGTCACGCTACGGCGAGTTAGGCGACCTATCGTCTGTCCAGTACTGTAATTTTATACATTTCTTGTGAAAGAAACATTTCTTATTTAACGGCCATAAAAATTATTTATATTAAGGATGTCTCCAAAGGTCAACGAAGTTTTCGCAGAAAAATAATATCAGAAATCGCGGCCGCGGTTTGATGCGCTGTTCCGCGACGAAACCAAGCTTTAGCAACGGGCGTAGTCGAACGGTACACACTCGGTAAGCAATCCTACAATTTTTTGTTTATAACGTAGTTTATACGGATTATTTTCAAAAAAATATACGTATTTTGGAAATGTTGAGTCGAATTAGTCTAGAATCGATTAATTTTATGAAAGAAAACCTTTCAAACAGCCGTAGTCCGTAAACTATGATTCCTACAAAATTGATTCATAAAGAACGGAACGTATCTACCGTCTTATAGGGGGATCTACTGTAACTGTTTCGTTTTTATGTACTCTCATTTATATTCAAGAATACTTTACGAAATCAATCAATTCCAGGATCAATAAGACGATTTTAGATTTAAACAAAATGATTTATAATACATTGTTGAAAAAAGAAAGAGCCTGCGCTCAGAAAATCAACAATGCATTAATTACAATCTATAAAATTCTTGAAAGCAACATATGCATTTATATAGTGTTGAAATATAGTGTGTCCCATAAATTTGTAAATAGTTTAAAAATTCATAAAAGTTGAAAGAATTGGTATATTGGAATGAGGTTTGCGTAAAAGTTATTCTCACAAAGGGGGATGTTTTTGGATAGAGAAAAAGGAAATAGTTCAAATTTTTGTCGCTAGAGGGCGCTGAACGCAAGAAAATCACTGGAATTGTGCAAATCTGAGTCTTATAAAATGCAGCGTGTGCGATTAACAGTTCATTTCTGAATTTTCCTGTTATTGTCGCTGACATACGGTTTTCATTATGATGTTGACGTTGGTAGATAAAGCACTATTGGTAAAGTTGTTTTATCTCAGCCACGAATCGCGGGCTGAAACTTTACGAAGGTTTAGGACACAGAAGAGAATAAAGAAAGTTTCCGGTCCAATCACTCCTGCCGGATTGGGTTCTCTAATACGACGTTTTGAAAAAACGGGAAGTTTGTGTAATCGCCCACGCAGTGGAGCACCGCGTTTATCATAGGTCCGTACCTCCGATGTGGCTTCGCAAATGGAGACTGAGTTCCGAGTGTACCGAAATAGCCCATCTTCTTTAGTGCAATTAAAGGACGCCATTTGCCACAAAATCTCCTGCATCCATCTGGATTTGCTATTTGCTGCAGTTAGCGGTGTTGTCACTCGCTTGCAAACTGTCATTTGTGGTGATGACGGACACATAGAACAAGTGATCTAGTGCTGTGATACGCGTGTAAGTGTAAACAGTTGCCTGCATGAAAAGAAACGTAATTTTTTCGTGTAATTCCAATGATTTTTTTGCGTTCAGCGCTCTCTATCGACAAAAATTTGAACTATTTCCCTTTTCTCTACCCAAAAAATCCCCCTTCGTGAGAATAACTTTTACGCAAACTGCATTCAAATAAACCAATTCTTTCAACTGTTATAAATTTTTAAACTATTTACAAATTTATGGGACACCCTGTATATCGTTTTATAAATAACATTTTTAATAAAATATACAAAAGTAGTTTGCAGAATTCTTCATTTTTCGATTTTGTTAACAACTCGAAACAATTGAAACCTTTAGAAGACAGGATCTATGCAACTTTATGCGTGTCCAGTTCATTTCGGTGCAGACGATGGAACGAAAACGAAAACGACAGAGTCGAAGACACTTCAATGAAACATTTCCTTCAATATTTTTATAAAAGTGTTCAGTTATGTAAAATTAACTTTCGATCCTTTCAACCGTTACTATAAGCAATATTCTTCATCATTCCTCTGCTACATTGACTCAAGCGCCAATCGAATTTACACAAGATGTAATTTATGCAATATGAAAAGGAATAAATAGTTTACAATTATTCGTTCGATTCCTATTCGTAACACAATCATACCAGCCGACTTTATTGTGAATAGGCGGTATTCTAAATTATTTACATACGATCGTAATTATTTAAATTAAATTTATAACGAAAAGAAACTACCCACGACGAAAGCATTCTCGATCCAAATAAGAAATAATAATTCATATATTTACTCTTATTTCAAAATTTTATAATTAAATATCCGAATAATTGGTAAAATGAGTAATGCAAAGAACACATTGCATCAAACGTATAATTCAGTATTTCTTATACACGGCGAACAGTTCTTATTGATTTAAAAATTGCCCATTGTCAAGATTTTCAAAGGACTTTTACTGATCGAAAGTCACGTGAACGCATGTTAAAAATTTTCTCCTGAATGACGTTACCTAGATCACTGTTGTTATCAGGAAATGTATGATGTATAGGGGCAAGACTCTCCTAATTTGAGGTAGAGAGCATATATTTTTAATTAAATAAAGTAAAAATGATTAAAAATGCATCCCAGCATTCAGACGATGTCATAATAAATAGTTTCTGGATAATCTCATTTAACAAGTTATTCGTGATAAATAGAAATAAATTTTACCGCAAAATAGCAAATTTTTATTTCAATATTCTTACTACAATAATAAGCTTATAAAAGATTGCTTCGGGGCTCTATTTTGATGGCTGGGATTATTTCACCCACTTTAAAGCTTCTGTGCCTTTTGTCAAAAATTTCTGAAAATTTTGCAAGGAAATTTGTGTATTAAGGAGAAATATGTCTGGAAATTTTCAGAAAAATTGGACCATTGATTAGGGAAATATTAAGGAGGTAAGGACCATATCTCAAAACGCTTCCAAGTTATTAAATGTTTTATTCGTACAAATTTTTAGTTTACCAAATAAAAATTCATCTCTACCTTTAAGCCTTTTATTATAATTAATACGAAATTTTAATTTAAAAAAATAACTTTAAAAAATTTTGTCTGACACTATTCGTTATAAAACTGCTGTTTTATAATGAATGGTGTCAAAAAAATTTTGTTTCTTAAATATAAAAATTTTTTGCCGAAAAAGTTACGTAACTCGTCGCTGGATTGTCTTGCTTCACTAAACATATTTTATATCAAAAACAATTGGAACCGATAACAAAAATTGTTTTCTGGTGAAATTCAATAAAACTATCTTTAACTTTGTATTTAGATTTAATTCACTCACGATATTTTTCTCTCAAGTTTTCATTATATTCTTATTGGTATTACTAGTTTTATAAAGAGATTTGTTAATGTTGGTAATGATTTTTTGTGGGAATTTTTAACTTAGTTGATCTGTTTATAAAATTAGATATTTGTATCTAAATCTGTTGCCCATTGGTGGCCGGGTGATTAAAACCACTAAACACTGGTCGTGGGTTCGTGTCTGATCAAATGGAGTTTTCTGGGTTTTCTTCATGTCAGTAACACCTAAATAAGAACCAGTTTCCCACAAAAAATCTCCTGAGGCACTCCCTCGGCAAATTGCCTGTTTCCAATTAATAAACAAACCAAACCTAAATGTCTTCTTTCATGTGTCAGTGTGCTGGCTGAGCTATAGTAATACAGTAGAGCATCGTTTATCCGAAAGAATTCCAGTCGGCAAATTTAAATTTTCGCTAGTGCTGTGGCGCTACAATCTTTGGCTATATCTTGGGCTACTCTAATATTCTTTTTTGTGGGTGTGTGTATTTTAGCTGGCAGCACTGGCACTTTTGTGTGGTGTTTTTCTGAGGACTGTGCGGTGCTGAATCGAACGTTTTTGATACCAGATCAACTTCTAAAGTATTTATTTTTTTAAAAATATTTTTCAATATGTTTATTTTATTTGTACAAAATTAAAAAATAATTTTTAACGATACAATAGCCACGATTATTATTTTAAGAAGTTTTCGTTAGGCTTAACATTGACGAAAATTCAACGCGAAGCGACACGCAACGGAGAAAAATTTCAACATGGGATAAGTTAATACAGGTAACCCCCGTATAACACGGCACTTCTATAGCACGGATTCGCTCTAACACGGTTCGAGAATTGGTACCATCCCCCGTATAACACGGTACTTTTATAGCACGGATTCACTCTGACACGGTTCGAGAATTGGGTAAAACCCTCGTACAACAGGAAATGTAATAAATTTTTACATACTTAAGT